CTGGAAAAATGTTTATTCTTTCAGATGGAGAAGGGAAAAATGGAACCATTGAGTTGATTGAGCCCCTTGATGAGGAGATCTCTGGAAGTGTAGACGTAGTTGAACCAGTAACAGCCCAGGCTACCATCATGTGCACATCTTATGTCCAGTTTAAAGAAGATGGCCATTGTTTTGATCTTGAACTCTACAATGAAGCTATAAAAAATACCCAGGAGTTTCCTCAGTTTTTTCCTATCGGGATTGTGAAGGATGATTGATGAACTTTTTATGATTGTGAATATTATGTTACAGACTAGTAAAGAGACCTGGTATTTGAGGGCAAGATTCCTGTGGTTTCCAGCACTTAATTTGCACTGTTTTTTATTTTATTTTGTTACCTAACTACAGATACTTCAATTTGCAGTTCTTGATAGAATTTATATGCTGACATTTCTCACCTCAGAAGGAATGGTCTTCATATATGAAAAAGGATCTCTTCTTTGGTATACAATCAGATAAGATACAAGAGAAAAGTAGTTGCTGCCTGGAATTTAGTTTTCTATTTTATTAATAAATATTAAAGTGTTAAAAGAATAATTAATAATAATGGAATTTTCCCATGAATTTCTGAAACTCCCTCATGTAAAAAGCACTTGCCTATAGATGAATTTCTACCTGTTAAATGCACAAGAGGAACACAGCTAGCGTAGTGGATTACAAGTTGGGCTGCTAACCGCTACGTCAGCTGATCTAATCTACCAGTCACTCCAAAGAGAAATATAAAGCTTCCTGTTCCCATAAAGATTTTCAACCTCTTAACCCTATACAGGATCGCTATGAGTCAGAACTGACTCCATGGCACACCTCTACCACCACCACCATCCCCATCACCACCAAACACACAAAGATAAGAGACTTCTAATTGTTGAATTTGACTTTAGTTATGGGTTTGACCCACAAGGTCAGTGGTTCAAACTCACCAGTTGCTCCTCAGAAACCCTATACAGGGTCACTATGAGTCAGAACTGACTACACAGCGCTTAACAACAACAAAGTGCTTTTTAAGGCTAATCTTGATTACCTGTGATTTTTTTGCCAGAGGAACTGATTTCAGAGCTTCCTTCCTCCTCCCTTCCCTCAGACAGCACCTGAGATTGCTCCACAATGAAGCTGTTAATAAACCTTTGTTTGTTCTAGGACTTGAGCAAAAAAATTTAAAAAAACCACTAAAATCTAAGAGGCTTAAATAGTCTGTCATCTTGTCAAAATACTTTTCTCTGAAAAGGCCCAGTCGTTGTTGTCTGATGCCATTAGGTCGCTTCCAACTCACAGCAGCCCTCTATGACAGAGGAGAATGGCCCCTTAACATCTACTCTTGGCTATAATCGGAACAGATGGTCCTGCTTTTCTCCCTCAGAACCACTGGGAAGGCTCAGTCCTTCAATTAGCAGCCAAGCGCTTAACTATCTGTGCCTCTAGGACTTTTTAAAAGAACCATGCTCCACCCAAATGGTTGAACTGATTGAAAGTCCCATCAAGTCTGAGAGGATTTTTGCACTTTGCACTATTTGATGCTTCTCACTAGAAATAAAATTCTTTGAGAAATGCTTCTGAAAATTCTTCCTTGGGGTTGTCTTTGAGTTGCACTGAGACACTGGCATGGACTAGGTTTTGTCTGTGTGTTTTACTTGGCTTGTGTTTTCAAGCACACTGTCATCCACATTTTACTTTTCTTTGTATCTGACCCCTCTCATGGCTCCGTCAGCCAGCTTATAGTGCATTCGTTTCTCCTCTGATTACCTTCCATAATCCTGGCCACCTTTAGTCTG